CTCTCTCTCTCTCTCTCTCTCTCTCTCTCTCTCTCTCTCTCTCTCTCTCTCTCCCCCTCTCCCTCTCCCTCCATCCCCCTCCCCTTTCCCTCCCTCCTAGTCCCCCAGTCCATCCCCTAGTGGACGTCTCCTGTCCACCTCCTACCGGCCCACAAGTTCAACCTGGCTAAATTGAAGCCTTCATCTCGGCCTCTCCTGCAGACTGAGCCCTCTCACGAGCCTGAGCCTGTGCATCACCCCAACTTCCAGCTGTTTCTCCCTCCGTGCCCCCACTGCCCCGCTGTCTTCACCACTCAGGCTCCACAGTTTCTGGCCCAGAGCTGAACTGCTCTGACCTCGACAAGCACGTGGATCTCGAGGGGCCTTGTTAAAATGCTGATTCTGGCTCAGTGCATCCAGGTAGAGCTGAGATGCTGCATTGTTAACAAGCTCTTGGTACCAAGGCTGCTGGTAGCGAGGGCCTGGGGGGAGGAGACCGGCCTGCACAGCCCCCTAGAATGAGGCTCAGAATAACCTCTGAACTGTGTAACCAGCCTCCAGAGACCCCACGGTCCGGCGCTCAGCTTTGGCCCTTCTGTGGCCTGTACCTGCCCCTGCCCGACCCCCACCCCCCACCCTCTGTTTCCTCCCGTGGGCCACGCCCCTCTTGTCCTCTGGGCCGTGGCACATTCTGTTCCTGCAACACACTTCTGTTGGTGCCAGTTTGCCTACATTAAGGTGCGGGGTCCCATGTGGCCTTGAATCCACTTGTGTTGGGTCTTCTGAGACCAAATGCCAGGATGGGAAATGTGCAAGAAATGTACCAATAAGGGAAATAGGGAAGGGGGCTGGGAGGTCTGAGCCCAAGGAATAGCGAGGCGAGGCAGAGAAAGCAAGGAGGGGCTGGGTAACATCCAGGGACAGCTGGCAAAGCCAGAGGTGGCCGTCAGGGGCGCCTGCCTTGGGTCTCGGCCTCGTGCAGGACAAAGAGACGATGGGCTTGCGAGCACAAGGGCCCATCAGAGATCTGTGGGCGCTGCTCGCGGCCACCCCCCGCCGCTGCCAGTCTAGCACACAGGTGCCCTGGGAGGCAAGGGAATCCCCGTATTCACCCTCTCAGAGAGCCTGCAAGAGCCTCACAGGCCCCTGTGGGGTGGCCCCAGCCAGGGGTCAGGGCAGTAGCAGTTTGGAATCCCAGCTCCACTCCTTCTAGTAAGCTGGGTGGCCTCAGGCAGCTGCTGACACCTCTCTGAGCCTTGATCTCCACATCCGTAAAACGGGGGCAGTAATAGCACCTCCCAGGGGCGCAACCAAGGCTTGAGTGTCAAGCCGCTGCTTCTGTTCACCCATCAACTAGTCGGAATGCTCAGGACCATCACCTTGCAGGGAGATCGTGGGAACGGGCTGGGAAATTTTAACACTGGGAACTGGGTTCCCTTCATCTGTTAGATCTCTGAAGAATTTGCATTTTAGAACAGGGGCAGCATTGTAACAGAAGGCACACCCATTTTGCGAGCTCAGGGCCCCCCAGCAGCCCCACCCAGGGCCCCCTTGTCCCCAAAGCCAGCCACGCTCTGCTGCTCCTGCCTCATCAGCCCGGGCCAGGCCTCACCGGCACCTTCACCAGCTCCTACGCCGCTCTGGGCCTCCTCCAGTATATTTAGCTTTGAGGCGCCTGAAAGTTTTTTCCACCAGCACACCCTGGTCTCCGAGCAAATTCGGCCCAGCTGTAGCGGGCGAGCGCCCCGGCCTCGGCCGCGGTTTCTCTCCCCTGCTGCTTCCTGTTGTGCACCCATCAGGCCGGGGGCGGGGCCTGGACACGCGTGGCCGCTACAAACAAGCCTCTCCTCTCCCCAGGCTGCAGAGGCACCGACATGGGGCTGAAGCTGACCTGCCTGAAAGGTAAGCGGGTGGCTCTCCCTCCAGCTCTTAAGGGGGACGGGGGCGGGGGAGGCGGGGTGAGGCAGGAGAGAGAGTAGACCCTGACACCCCAGTGTCGCCCACTAAAGGCAGCACCTGTACGCAGTAGGCGCCGTGCGAGCGCGTGCTCCAGGCCTTCCGTTTCCCAGGAGCTGAGTGATGGGGGAATGTCCCGGGGCCCCCCCACGCTTTGGTTGGCCCCCTCGGAGGGATGAATCCCAGGCTGTGCAGAGTCAGGGGGTAAGAGGTCCTGGAGGAAGGTGCCACGCCCGCACGGGGGTGTTTGCTGTCCACCCCGAGGGGCCTGTTATCACTGAGATAGGTGGTCCCACCTGCCGGCTGCCGCGGAAGGAGGGCTGGGAGAGGGGAAAGGCCAGCGGGGAGAAAGTTCCAGGATACTGAGTCATTGAGGGGTGATACGGGCGCTGCCAGAGGCAGCGCAGACCTGTGTCTCGTGCTCTGGACCCTTCGGTCCAGCATCTGGATGTCTCAAGGGCACCTCAGACCCACACGGCCCACGCGAAGCTCATTGGGTGGCGAATGCTCCCACCCCACGTCTCCCCAGCCTGAAATCTGGGAGTCGGCGTGGTGGCCCCTCGCCCACGTGCAGCATGCCCACCAGCCCCTGACTCCCCTCCTGCCTGTCTCAGGCCTTTCCCCAGCTCCATCCTCTGCCACAGGAAGTCAGGAGGTATGGGAGGGCCCCCCACCCCCACCCCCACCCCCGACCCCGGCCTGCCCCGCCCCCGGGATGAGGGACCAACCTTCAGGTCCTGCAGCTGGGATGAGTGAGCTCCAGTGAGCCTCTGGTTGGCCCTCGGAGGGAGGCAGGGCATCTTGATGGACAGCTCCTCCAAGACTGCGGGCCAGTGGGGAGCAGTGGTCCCCCTGGACGAGTGGGGGGAGGTGTTTGTTGAGCGGGCATCCAGGAGGGTTAGCTCCGAACGCTTGGCGCTCGAGGACCCTTTTCCCTTAGACTTTGCTGTGGGTCCCCAGTGCCGGGCACAGAGCTTGCGAGCAGGACAAGGTTTTTGTTTTGGTTTTTGATTGTGGTAAAATATGCATAAGATAAAATTTGCCGTCTTAACCATTTTTAGGCATACAATTCAGTGGCATCGAGTACATTCACATTGTTGTGCAACCATCGCCCACCATCCGTCTCCAGAACTTCTCTATCTTCTCCAACTGAAACTCTGTCCCCATTAAACCCTGACTCACCCTTCCCCTCCCCCAGCCCTGACACCTACAGCCTACTTTCGTCTCTGAATTTGCCCCCTCCGGGTGCCTCACATAAGTGGAATCATACGGCCGCTGCCCTTTTGTGTCTGGCTTAACTTCACTCAGCATAATGGGGAAGCTTCGTCCATGTTGTAGCAGGTGTGTCAGGATATCCTTCCTTTCCGTGGCTGAATAATATCCCGTGGTGTGTGTAGACCAGGTTTGGTTTATCCGTTTATCCCTTGATGGAGACGGGGCTGTTTGCACACTTGGCTGTTGTGTCGGGACATCTTTGACAAACCGAGATCCTGGAGGGGCCTCTGGGGACCACTTGCCTTCCAGCCCGAGGCTGGGGGTCGGCCAGGGGAGGAGACCCGGGAGCTACAGCTGCTGAGGGTCCCTGGGACAGCCCCCCACCTGCAGGACTGAAGCCCGGGCAGCGGGTCGGGCGCCCCTGGGCCGGGAGCTTTTAAAAGGGCCCAGGTGGAGCTGAGTGCTGGGAGGGGTGCGGGAGCTGGTGGCGCCCAGCGAGGGGCGCTCATGCATCTTTCATCACTGGCTCTCTGGAGCTGGCCCACCGCCTCCTCCCTCCCCCAGCCCCACCCCACCCCCAGCCTTGGTCTCTGGAGGTGACGAGGCCCACACAGGGTTAGGTGTGACTCGGGGCACAGGGGTGCGGGGAGCGCAGAACCCCTCTCCCTGAGCTTCACCGGGATGACCCAGGCCCCCCAGCCCAGGAGCCCTGGGTCCTCTCCCTCTTGGGAACCTCTTTCTTACGGGAAACCGCAGAGGGCTGGATCCCTGCGCCGGTGAAATTCACGGTTATCTGGGTCCCTTCCCTCGCTGCCCACAGGTGTGCTTTCGCCTGGTTGTTGGTGCTGGGACGTGCAGTTTGTGCACCGTCTTCTATTTATTTTTTATTTAATGTTGGGTGCGAGTGCTGTATGTCTCCAGCCAGTGTCACTTTCACAATTCTTTAATGGCTGCGTGCGTCCAGTTCTGCCAAGAGTGGGTCTTTGGGTTGTTTCCAGCGTGTTGCTTTTGTGGATCATGTCATTTTGATCATCTTTGCTTTCTAACTTTTGAAAATCAGTATTTGTTTGAGGTAAATTCCAGAAATCAGAGTGACCTGGTCAAGTAATATGGATAAATGGTGCCTCTTCTTCCTGGGGGCTTGGCCCAGGCAAGGCCCTTTTCTGTGCATTCTGAGCGGGTCAGTTCATCCGTCCCTCGTCCCACCACGAAGTGAGTACTTCCAGGATTCCCAGTTTCCAGGTGAGGAAGCTGAGGAACAGAGAGGTCATGCAGTTGCCCGGGGCCACACAGCTGGGACCCAGGTGGGATTGGAACCCAGGCGGGCTGTCCCTGAAGCCTAGCTTTAGCCTCCGCTGGTATGGCCTCTTCAGGGGAAAACATTTTAATTCAACACTTGAAGGGACCACTGTAGCTAGAGGCTTTATCCACACCCTCTCTTAAATCTTCACATTAACCCTATAAGACAGTGTTTTAGTTTCCTGGGGCCATTGTAACAAATTACCGCAAACTGGGGGGCTTAAAACCACAGAAATCTATTTTCTCACAGTTCTTAGAGGCCAGAAGTCTGAAATCAGAGCGTCAGCAGGGCCGTGCTCCCTCTGGGGGCTCGAGGGGAGAATCCTTCCTGCCTCTTCTGGCTCCTGGGGCTTCCAGGCATCCTTGGCTTGTGGCCGCATCCCTCCTGTGCCTGCCTCCGTCTTCACCAGGCCTCCCCCCCTGTGTTTCCCTGTGTCGTTTCTCTTAGAAAGACGTTGTTCTCTCCTTTGTCTTATGAAGACATCCATCTTTGGACTTAAAGCCAGTCTTAAATACAGGATGATTGCGTCACAAGATCCTTAACTAATTACATCTGCAAAGACCTTATTTCCTTATTTCCGGCATCTTTCCCGGCTCCCTTCTGGGGCTCAGAGCCTCTGCTCCCTGTAACCCAGGTTTAGGTGGTTGGGAGGTGGCAGTTTCGATGCCTATTTTTCTGACTGGCGTTTGGAGGCCCGAGACCAGCCCCGGATCACAGCAAAAGTGAGAGTCACCCCGCACTGCCCCATTCTAGTGCAAACACATGCTTCCAGCTGTCCCGCAGCGGGGTCCAGAGTTGGTCGAGAGATTGTTCATCACACAAACATTGATTGTGTCCCTACTGTGTGCCAACCCACAGCCGGGTACAGGGCTTCAGGGCTGAGCAAGGCGGCCACGGTCACTGACCCCCTGGAGCCCAGAAAAGTAAGGAGGAGATGCACGTTACTTGGAACAGACGTCCGAGCACAAGATGCTCTGTGCCAGGACAGAGAGCACCGCCCAGCCCACCCAGCCCGCGGGTGGCACCGCTGAGGAAGCAACGTGTCTGGCGGAGCTGGCCTGGGAAAGAGGGGGACGGGACCGTGTCCCAGGCCGCACGCACTCCCCGGGCAAAGGCCGGAAGCAGGAAGGTGTCAGAGGGATTGAAGGAGGATGGCGGGTGGGCAGGCCGAGGACTGCTCTGGCCGGATGGGGCTGGAGGAAGCTGGGGTTTAGTCATCTTCGGGGCCAGGAGCGCAACACAAGGGTAAGAGACCGAGGCATTCGTTTGGCTAATACGTCTTGAGCAGTTTTCAGAACCGTGCTGGCTCCATACTTTTAAAGGGAAGGTCACACAGTGGGATCCACCCCGAGGTAGAGAATGGCCAAGGCTCAGTATCTTAATTTACTGAGATTTAGTGTTCCCACCTGTGAAATGGGCCTGTGGAGATCCTGGGGTGTCCCTAACCTCGCCACCCCTGCGCACCCTGGAACAGAGGCCGACACACAGCAGGTGCTCTCTTCCCCTGGAGGGGAGGCCCAGGCCAGAGCTGTGCTCCTGTGTGACTTTTCATTTGTTCGGCAAACGGTCCTTGAGTGCCTGCCATGTGCCGGGCACTGCACTGGGTCCAGGGACACGGCAGCGACCAGCACGGCTCCCCTGCCCCCACGTACAGGGGACAGAAATGAATGTGTGAACACGTGACCCGGGCTGGTAGACTTTGTGGTGAGAGCTGCAAAGGGAGTTGAACAAAGAGGTGCAATAGAGGGGCTTGAGGTAAGTGAAGACCTGTCTGTAGTGCCGACAGTGGAGCCAGCCACGCAACGCAGGGAACAGTGTCTAGGCAGAGGGAACAGCAACAAAGGCCCTGAGACGGGAACAGGCTTGGTGAGCTGATGAGCAGTGAAGAGTCAAATGTGGTTGGAATTGGGGGCAGGGGCAGGGGCGGGGGCCGGGGCCAAGCAGGAGGAATGGAGGTCCCTGGGACAGGCAGGGCCATGGGAGCTGAGCGTTGTATCAAGAATGTCTTTTCCGAGTAATCGGAGGCACTGGAATCACTGCAGAGCAGCGGTCTCATCCTCCACTGCACATCAGGATCGCTCACGGCGCCTACAGGAGGCGGCAGCCCTGGTGCGCTGCCCAGTGCCGGGATTTAGTTTGGCAGAAGCTCCCCAGGTGATTGTCCTGTGCAGCCTGGGGTGAGAACCACTGTCTGGGGCCCGTGCCCTTGCTTTTCTGGTGGGCCTGGGGTATAGACTGACACCCAAAGGTGACAAGGGCCAGGCTAGCTTGGCTGGGCTTCAGGGATGCAGGCTGCAGTCCAGGGCTTGTTCTGGAGCCTTCTGAACAGATCTCTGACCGGGAGAAGGGCTCCGGGGGCTAGGAGACCCCCAGCCTACTCAGAGAAGGGGTGGGCAATCAAAGCCTATTCTAAAGGCTGAAGCAGATGGGG